ACTGTTAAAATTTTACTGTTTTATTGTTAACCATTGCTGTTTTCTTTGCAGGAATGCAATTAAGCTGCAGCACCAACCTGTAGTACCAACCTGTTTATTCTGACAGCAACAGGAGCTTGCTCTCAGAATATCAATAAGTCAGTGTGTTAAGCGCTGTTGGATGAGATTTTTCTTCTACAGTTAGAAAAGAGCACATATGTCGAAGTATGGGGGCCTGGGGTGGCCAGTGGGTGGATGGCCCCTATGCTTCGGCATATATATTTTATAATATTTTTTGGCACATTTCATGTGTGCCCACCATTAGAAGTGGGTGGATGCAGGGTGGTATACTCTAGTGGTGGGCATACCACACACTTTTTCTGGCAGATATTTCTTCTCTTTTTTTCATTCAGCCCACAGGCTACATTAAGCAAACAAAAAAAAAAAAAAAGAACATAGCATATACACCCAACAAGGACCAGCAATGTACTGGTACATCACTGGACTGGAGCGATTATACCAGGATGATGCCTGCAGCTGCATTTTTCATTTTATTCAGCCGGCGATTGGCTTTCATGTAAAAGCAATCCTAGTGGCTAATTAGCTGCAAGATTGCTTTTACAAACAGTGGGAGAAGATGCCCCCCCCCTCTCCCGCTGCCTTCCACGGCCTTCTCGGGCAGTCATCGGGGGAACCTGAGAATGCACGCGGTGTTTCTGCCAGCTGACCATATAGCTGATTGGAGACCGGAATGGTGGCAATCCTCGCTATAGTCTAAGAAATTGGAAGCTATGAGCATTTCATCACTTCAATTTCGCAGGATATAAACAGCACCATTTGTAAATTGGGAGAGCATCTGATCACACTGATCTTGGTGATATTAGATAACGCAGAGGAGATATCCAGAGTCTGATTTCTAAAAAAAAGATTATATGACAATGCCCATTGAAGTTATAGGGGATATTTGCATTCCCTGTGATAGCATTAAAAGTGCTAAAAAAAAATGAAAGGGACAGTGTAAAAATAATTTAAAAAATCAAAATAACTTAAAAAAAAAAAAAAAAAGCACCTGTGCCAGTATGTAAACAGCGGTTCAAGCATGCATGTGAGGTATCGCCGCAAACGTCAGATCAAGGACAGTAATTCTAGCACCAGACCTCCTCTGTAAATCTAAAATCGTAGCTTGTAAAGGCTTTTAAAGCGTTGCCTATGGATATTAAAAATGTATGCAGTTTGTTGCCATTGCAAGGGGCATGTGCAATTTTTAAAGCATGTCATGTTTGGTATCAAATAATTGGCCAATATATTGTGTTTTTGTGCATTAAAAGTAAAAAAAAGTGTATTTCTTTCCTAAAATCTGCGTTTGAAAAATTGCTGCGCGAGTGCTATGTGACATAAAAAATTTCAGCACCCACCATTTTATTCACTAGGGTGTCTACTTTACAAAAAATCTATAATGTTTGGGGGTTCAAAGTAATTGCCATGTGAAAAAAAAAGTGTCAGAAAAGGCTTGTTCTTCAGGTGTTTAGAAGAGTGAGTGCTGTGTGGCATAAACTTTTAATGCTGGGCATAAAATGGCCCCTTTTTGGAAAGTAGACACCCCAAACTATTTGGTGAGAGGCATGCTGGGTCAAAAGAAGAATTTATTTTTTTACCACAAGTTTTTGAAAAATGACAAAAAAATTGTTTTTTCTTTACACAATTTGTCATTTAAATTATTTATTGCTCACACATGCCATGGGTATATGTGGAATTACTCCCCAAAATACATTCTGCTACTTCTCCCGAATATGGGGATACCACGTTTTTTTGAGAGACTTTTTGGCAGTCTAGCCAAGTACAGGACCCCAAAATCCAATAAGCACCTTCAGGCTTTTAAAGGGCTCATTACACTTCCTGACTACCTATCACAGTTTTGGAGGCCCTGAAATGCAAGGATAGCACCCCCCTCCCCATGACCCTTTTGTTTTGGAAAGTAGACACCCAAAGGAATTTGATGAGATCTGCAAAATACTCACCATGCTTCTTGTTTGTTGCCACAAGTTTTTTGGAAAATTAAAGAAAACAAAAACATTTTTTCTTTTCTTTTTTTATATTTCAAAACCTTGTGAGAAAAAATTAGATCTGCAAAATACTCACCATGCCTCTTTTTAAATTCCTTGGGGTGTCTACTTTCCAAAAAGGGCTCATTTGGGGGGGTTTGGTGCTATCCTGGCATTTCAGGGCCTCCAAAACTGTGATAGGTAGTGAGGAAGTGAAATGAGAAAGTTACGCAACTTCAGGCTTTCAAAGTGGTCATTGGATTTCAGGCTACTGTATGTGGCTAGGCTCCCAAAAAGTCTCACACATGTGGTATCCCCATACTCGGTAGAAGTGGCAGAATGTATTTTGGGGTGTAATTCCACATATACCCAGGGCTTGTGTGAGCAATATATGATTTAAGTGACAACTTTGTGTAAAAAAAAAAAAAATAAATACATTTTTGTCATTTTCCAGAAACTTGTGGAAAAAATAAAAATCTTCCATGGACTCAATATGCCTCTCAGCAGCAGAAGGTTAGGGTGCCTACTTTCCAAAAAGGGGTCATTTGGGGTTGTTTGTATTCTCCTGGCATTTTAGCACCTCAAGAAAGGCACTCAGAAAGTAAAAGCTGTGTAAATTCCATAATCTATACCATAGTTTGTAGATGTTATAACTTTCACACAAAGCAATCAATACACACTTATTGGGAGTATTTTTTTTTCACAAAAACACATGTACCAGAATACATTTTGGCTAAATTTATGACGAAATTTGAGTTTGTATTTTTTGTTATGACAGAAAATATTGTTTTTTTTCAAAATGTTCGGTCTTTTTTTGTTTATAGCGCGAAAAATAAAAAGCGTACAGGTGATCTAATTCCACCAAAAGAAAGCTCTATTTGTGTAAAAAAAAAAAAAGGACATAAATTTAATTCAAGTACAGTATTGCATGACCGTGCAATTGTCAATTAAACTAGTGCAGCGCTGTATAGCAAAAAATGGCGTAAATTGCAGTATCTATACCATAGTTTGTAGACGCTATAACTTTCACACAAAGCAATCAAAATACACCTATTGGGATTTTTGTTACCAAAAACATGTAGCAGAATACATGTTGGCCTAAATTTATGACTAACTTTGAGTTTACTATATAATTTTTATATCCGAACCTATAAAATATATATTTATTTTTCTCAGAATTTTCAGTCTTTTTTTGTTTATAGCGCAAAAAATAAAAAGTGCACAGGTGATCAAATTCCACCAAAAGAAAACTCTATTTTGTGTGGGGGGGGGGGAAAGGACAGATTTCATTGGGTACAGAATTGCATGACCATGCAATTACCAGTTGAAATAGTGCAGTGCCGAATAGCAAAAAAAGGCCTGGTGATTAAGGGGGGTAAATCCCCAGGTGGGCAAGTCTATCATGGTCTAGATTTGTATCCAGCGTTTAGCTTTTCTAAACACAGGAGAAGTCATCTGGGAAGTATCAACAACTTTTATGCTTCTCAAGTGACTTTTTTCCAGCATTTAGAGGTTTAGGCTTAGCCCCGTTTATGTATGTTTAGTAAGGTTTAGCTGCATCTAGAGCAGTGGTTCTCAACCTTTCTAACGCCGCGACCCCTTAATACAGTTCCTCATGTTGTGGTGACCCCCAACCATAAAATTATTTTCGTTGCTACTTCAGAACTGTAATTTTGCAGTGGGAGGAATAGTGCCCCATCGTTGGTGTCAGGGGGGGGGAGGAATAGTGCCCCATCGTTGGTGTCAGTGGGGGGAGGAATAGTGCCCCATCGTTGGTGTCAGTGGGGGGAGGAATAGTGCCCCATCGTTGGTGTCAGTGGGGGGAGGAATAGTGCCCCATCGTTGGTGTCAGTGGGGGGAGGACTAGTGCCCCATCGTTGGTGTCAGTGGGGGGAGGAATAGTGCCCCATCGTTGGTGTCAGTGGGGGAGGAATAGTGCCCCATCGTTGGTGTCAGTGGGGGGAGGAATAGTGCCCCATCGTTGGTGTCAGTGGGGGGAGGAATAGTGCCCCATCGTTGGTGTCAGTGGGGGGAGGAATAGTGCCCCATCGTTGGTGTCAGTGGGGGGAGGAATAGTGCCTATCATTGGTGTCAGTGGGGGGAGGAATAGTGCCCCATCGTTGGTGTCAGTGGGGGGAGGAATAGTGCCCCATCGTTGGTATTAGTGACACAAATGATGGGGCACTATTCCTCCCACTGACACCAATGATACTTACCTTGCTGACCCCTGCTCCAGCCTGGGCTCGCTCTCTCCCTCTCCCATCTACAGCCTGCAGAAGCAAAATTTGCACTTACCTGTCAGCACTCGTCCTGGCCGCTCTCCTCTTCACTCGGTCCTGCAGCTCCCTCGATCTTCTTCGATCTGCGCGCTCTGCCGCGCGGCTCCTCCTCTCCAAGCTCCACCTCCTCGCCGGTGATTGGCCGCCTGTGTGCCTCTCCTGAGCTACAGTTCCGGTGGCCAATCAGCGGCGAGGAGGCGGAGCTGTTGAGTGATCCCGGAGGTGTGGCCAGGTTACAGGGGCAGCATATCATCCCGCCCACAGATCGCGAGACAGAGCAGCGGTGTCTCGGTTCCTAAGACCATCGGAAATATGTGTTTTCCGATGGTCTTAGGCGACCCCTGGGAAATGGTCGTTCGACCCCCAAAGGGGTCGTGACCCCCAGGTTGAGAACCGCTGATCTAGAGTGTCTAGTGTGATCCACACACAGATAATTCTATTTTCTTTAACCACTAGCCTACAGGGCACTTATACCCCCTTCCTGCCCAGGCCAATTTCAGGCTTTCAGCGCTGTCACACTTTGAATGACAATTGTGCGGTCATGCAAAACTGTACCCATATGAAATGTTTATCATTTTTTTTGAGACAGAGCTTTCTTTTGGTGGTATTTAATCACCTCTTGGATTTTTATTTTTTTCTTAAACAAACCAAAAACCACTGAAAATTTTGGAAAGAAAACGTTTTTTTTCTTAGTTTTTGTTATACAATTTTGTAAAGTGATTTTTTCTCCTTCACTGATGTGCGCTAATGAGGCTGCAGTGATGGGCACTGATAGGCTGCACTGATGGACACTGATAGGTGGCACTGATGGGCACTGATGAAGAGGCACTGATGGGCATTGACAGGCATCACTGATGGGCACTGAAAGGCAGCACTGATACATGACACTGATATATGGCACTGTTAGGCAGCACTGACTGGCACTGATAGGCGGCACTGACGCGCACTGATAGGCAGCACTGATAGGTGCACTGATTGGCATTGATAGGTGGCACTGATCGGTGACATTGAAAGGCAGCTCCGATGGTCACTGATATTTGGCATTGATGTGCACTGGTATGCACTGATATGTGGCACTGATGGGCACTGGCACATGGCACTGATGAGCACTGACTGCTGGCACTGATGGACACTGACAGGTGGCACATCTGGGGCCACACTGATCATCAGGGCACACTGATCATCAGTGCCCTGATGATCAGTGTACAGTTCCCCTCCGCGGAAAGCCGATTACTGGCTCTCCTCTCGAGCTGTCAGCGTGACAGCTCGAGAGGAGAGAAATGCCGATAACCTGCATTTCCGTGTTTACATGTGATCCGAGGGACACAGCGCACTGGCGATCGCCTCGCTGCGCGCTCCCTGAGCCATGCATGCGCGGTGAGAATGGAAGGACGTCATATGACGTCCTATCAGAACGAGAGAACCACTTTGCGCCTGTCATTGTACTATATGGCGGGCAGAAGGTGGTTAAAGGCAGCTTAACTGATCACATCAAACTGCAAGTAAAACACAGTGTGAATGACACCATTGATATGTCATTACATGCATTTATATGTATTTAGAAATGTTCTCAACACATAAAATGCAGGTTTGAGACAGTGCCAGCGTGAATGAGGCCTAAAAACTGAATTTTTCATTACGGTAAAATCTCTTTCTCTGAGTTCATTGACGGACACAGCTTCTTCTTATTCTCGACCATAGGGACAATCCAAAACAGAGTGGTGGGAAATAGGAGTCAAAACAGACAACATGCTCCCAACAGGCAAACAGGTAAAAAATCACCCAAAAGGAAACACCCATGAACAGAAACAGAAAACCTAAAACAACTGCTTGAAAAACTTTCCAGCCAAAGGAAGCATCTGAAAATGCAAAAACATTCTCTTCATAAAACCTTGTGAATGTATGCACAGACAACCAGGTAGCCACCTTATAAACTTGAGACACAGAAGTCTGATGTTGGAACGCCCAGGGAGGCACTAATCGTCCTGGTAGAATGTGCCGTAACATGGAATAGAGAAATAAGACCCTTAATGTAATCCTGAACCACCATATGTCTGATCCACCTAGAAATGGGGTCAGAGGAGGCTGCCAGGCCTTTCTCGGCCAGTCCGTGACCACACAAAGAATATCCGATATCTGAAAGGAAGCTGTAGCAGACAGATATACCTGACGTCCTTAGGATGTGAGGGGCGCAGACATAGGGAAGACAGGGCAATGTCATCATTCAAATGAATATTAGACATCACCTTTGGAAGGAAGAAAGGAAGGACACAGAGGAAGCACCAACTTATCATTGTGCAAGACTAAATAAGGAGACCTACAGGACAAGGCCACCAGCGCTGACACTCTCTCTCCGCCCTACAGCCAGTTAACCTTGCATGTACAGACTGCCAGGGTACCATGCTCTTCCCCCAATCCCTGCAGTCAGTTAACCCCACATAAACTTGCCTCAAAGAGGTGAAGGCAATAAGGAAGGCAACGTTGTGTCAACAGAAGAATATCTACATTGGTTTCAAAAGTAATTTTTGAAGAGCCAACAAAACCAGGTTAATATACCCCAAAGTCACAGGTGGAACTATGTGAGCTACACCTTGTACAAGTCAAAAGAATGAGAGGCAAGCAGTCTTTTAAAGAGAGCTGTGTTCTGACCTTTGATTGTATGCTAAGTAGAATGTTGTTCTAGGCTAGAGCCAGACCAGACTAGAGAAAGGTCAGCATTCATTCCAGAGCATTTTGTGGAATTAAACTTCTTGCCTCACACTATAAGAAATACGCTTTTCAAGTAGGATGGAGGACCTTGCAAGAGGTAAAGCTCCTAACTTTGAACATCAAAGGATCAACAGAATTCAATATGCCCCTACCCTTTAGTACCTGGGTTTCAACAGCCATGCCTGTCAAAGCCAGCGACTATGAAGCAGGGTGGTAAAACAATCCCTGCATCAAAGGATTTGGGAGTAAACAGAGTCTGTCAAAAGCTTAATGAGGCCCAAGCACACCCTCCTTGGCTAGTTTTGTGCTATGGATATCACTGGAATACCATCCTTCTCAACTCTACAGACAAAGTAAAGGTGTAGTTCAGGCTGAACTGATCCTATGGAGTCACCAAAATATTCACTACAATGGCTAGGGGATCCCTGGACCTGGAGACGAAGTTACTTACCTTGTTGTTAAATATGGAAGCCAAGAGGCCCATGTCCAGCCTTCCCCACCTGTAGCAGAGGTCCTAAAATATTTCCAGGTGGAAAGACCATTACCCTGAGTTCAATTGCTGTTGAATGAGGAAGTCTGCTTGTCAATTATCCACACCTGAAATTTGTACGATGGACAGTGCTGGGACAAAGTTTTTGCCCAGGGCAGAACCAGGATGCGTTCTTTTTGAGCAGTGAGACTTTTGATATTTTTTCAATGTTGTGGCATTGTTTAACTGACTCTTGACTGGTTAACCTTGCAATCAAAGTTTAGCATTAAATGGCCAACCAAATTCTTTATAGCTCTAGTATATTAATTGACAAATGAGTTTCCTCTGGTGACAAAGCTGGCGTCTATCATGGGAAATTTCTAGACCAATGGATGGAAGGATTTCCTCAACTCCAAGTCCAGATTCATAAGCCACCAGGCCAGGGCCAACATGGTCCTGGGTGTCAGAACCACTGGTAAATCATGAGACTGTACTTTCTTGTCCCATGCAGCCAGAATGTTGAAATGCAAGTCTGGAGTTGGATTTGGCATATGGTACTGAGCAATATGTAGAAATAAACTTAGGTATTCCAAATGATGTATCAATTCCAGTGCCTATTTCTGAAGATACAGGATCCAAATTGACTGGCAGGGACTATCAGGGGGAACAAGAGTATGTAAAGGGATTTTAGTCTTTTGTTTACTGGGTCCTTAAACAATGCAATGTCCTTAACTGGAATGGTAAATGTTTTGCTAAGCGAAAAAATATGGCAGGGTCTACAATGGGAAAGGCCTACTTCTTAAAGTGGTAGTAAACTCTTCTTTAATAATTTTACCTACAGGTAAGCTTATAATAAAGCTTACCTGTAGGTAAAATTGAATATCTCCTAAATGTGAAGCGTTTAGGAGATATTAGCCCTTTTTGATAGCTGACGCATGTGCTCCGAAGGAATGGCATATCCGTACCGTTCCTTCAGAGCACTAAGCCGTGGCCAGTCAGCCAACCAGAGCTTGTAAACCCAGAAGGAAGAACGGGTGTGAAGATGGAAGACCTGGGGAGCCGTTTCAAGGTAAGTCCTTCATAATGTGCTAGTATGCAATGCATACTAGCACATTATGCCTTTACCTTGCAGAGTTTTTTTTTTTTTTTTTTTTTGGATGCGGTTTACTGCCGCTTTAATAAATGCCTTTTCAATATTGCTCAGCAAAACACTTGAGAGGCGAAATAGATTGCCAGTAGACCAGTCACCATACAAAACAGGATGCAGTAACAAGTATGCCAGTAAGGTTTTGACAGGTTGGTGAGTTTTTAAAGGAGCACAGACTAATAATCTTAGAGAATTCAAACACAGGGACATGTATGTATGTGTCAAAAACAAAATGGTATCTTAGAGACTAGAAGTTATGTCAGCAGACTTAACAACCTCAGGTACAAAATCATTAAAAATGTTACACTTGTCTTCTGCAGCCAAGTGTGCAAAAGCAGCTGCGGACAAATCAGTCTGAGGGAGAATGTGTAGAATTATGCTTGCGGCCCCTGTGTTTTGAGTCGGCTATAACGGCAGTGGTCTTGTGCATAAAAGCTGACATTTTTCCCTGGATAACACGGAAGAGGGAATCACTCTGGGTAATGCTAGAAAAGACTCTGAAGAGCATGTGAACTCCATCATACTGCTTACTTGCTGAATTTCCCAGAAGGGGCAAGCATGCGAATGGACGTGTGCGACAGATTTTAAAGCACAAAACCACAGTATTACCAGAAAGTGGTTGCAACACAGATATTACGGGATATTTACTAAAACTGGTGCACACTAAATTTGGTGCAGCTGTGCATAGTAACCAATCCACTTCTAACTTTAGTTTGTTGAGTTGAGCCTTAATAAAACCTAAATGCTGAATGGTTACTATGCACAACCTTACCAGATTCTATGTACACCAGTTTTAGTAAATCCCCCTATTGTCTCAAAGCACAGAATCTCCACAGCATCAACCCCACAGTGGATACAGCAGCAGACCAAGTAGCTTACTCCTTAGTGTGTGCATCACATTTGAAAAATGTTACAATGACTGTACAGTTAGAGTGCTGGTGACACACACAAAATGTCGCAGCACAAAATAAGCAGAATGTTAACCTCTTACACTACAGCAAAAAACAAAGTATACTCGCCGGGATACACAAAAAAGGGGGCAATCCCCACTATCAAATGCAGTGGTGGTCCAGAGCGCGTCCTGCAGCAAACAGACACAGCAGCAAGGTAATGGAAAGTCCAAATGCAGGGCCCACTGATTAAGTTGCATTTCAGACCGTCTTCACTCCTCTGGTGGGCACACTCCCAAGGCAGTACTCAGGAACAGGATTATGCCCTTGGGTGCATCTGGGTCCTAAACCTAGAAAGGTCTCTACAGCTAATAAAACAGAACACTAGGTACCTGGAGAGTGTCACAAGCAGAACCAAGCACTTGAAGGTCACATTACAGACAAGCCCCATGTTTTCATCAAGGCCAGGTACAACCTCCACTGTCAAAGATCATCTGATCTGGAAATCAGCATAATGAGCTCTCACAGCTCTTTGAGCACAGAAATAGCTTTTCTTTTGTCTCAGGGATACAAAAAAAAAAAAAAAAAAAAAAGACTATTCTCCTAGGACACTAGCAAAAAACTGAAACATAATGGCATACTGGTTTTCAGTTGTCTGAGCCACTTGCCCTCCAAAGGATTTATCCCCTTTTCTGACCAGGCCATTTTTTGCGTTACTTTAGCTGTCAATTGCGTGGTCATGCAGTGCTGCACCCAAATGAAATTTATGTCCTTTTTTTCCCACGAATAGAGCTTTCTTTCGGTGGTATTTGATCATATAAAGCGCTGAGCAAACTGTTGGCACTATATAAATCCTGTATAATAATAATAGTAATAATCACCTGTGCGTTTATTTTTTGCGCTATATTGGAAAAA